TCAACTCGGAAACTCAGATAAGACTCACTGACCTGCATCATGCAAATTATCAAATTATAAAAGTGAATACAAATCTATTTGCTCGCACATCTGAGTTATTTATTATTCGTAGCAGAAACTATATGAGCGATGCAAACATTGCCAATTGCTTCAAGTTCCGTGTATAAACCATTGACATTGCCAGGGCTGGAGGAATATTTTTTTTTTATTTCCAAGGATAGTTTGCATGCAGGAAGCATTTCTCTGAGATGCTGGTATGTCCTGGTGTGTATTGGCGTTTGCCTATCTAAATTGAATGAGTCTACATGGCGTATCAAATGCCATTGAACACACTCGCTGCCCTGCTGTCAGGAACTGTGTGTTCTGTACGCAATGTGCTTTCATGTGCTCGACAAGCACTTGAAATGTAGTTACCGTGGTAGCCACCGAGTTGTCTTCGCTCTCTGAATATGTTAAACAGATAGATGTTCATTTAAGGGGAAAACCAGTGTGGGTATATGAGGGAGCAGAATTAGCCGTAACATTGTGACTTACACTTGGGCAGATCATAAAGAAGAGTTGTGAATATTTTAAATAAATTACCATTCAAATTAATTGCAATTGAAAATTTAACATTTGCTTTTTAAACCTCTATATTGTTTTTTATTCAAAGGATATTACACGACAACAATTATATTTAGCTTTAAAGGTGGCCATTATGTTGTCATGATCTTAAATATACGCTTTTTTTTCTTTGTGCAGGTGCAAGCTGATTTGGATCGGTTGTAGTCCTTCCGTATGCGATGCCAAAGATGCCTTCTTGGCACCCGATGGTTCGACTTTGTCAGAAATGTCACCATTGTATCTGCGACTGGTCTCCTATCGATCGCGAGCTTCGTTCGATGGAGACGGATGTTACTTTATGGACACGTCGCCCCGTCTTAACACGCAATCTCGAGCAAATAGCGCACTTAAGTTGGCGGTTGGCGGTTGGCGGTCGACATTCGAAATGGATTGCGATCCTCAAACGCATGGCGCCACCCCCGTGGTCGCCCCCGTGATACGTGGATCAAACAAATCACTTGAGACGCCAGTGTGTTTTAGCAAGAGCAGTTAATGTGAATGTTGTCGCAATGGGTCACACGTTTGGCACAACGGTCCTTCGCTGACTACGCATGATGAATGACGTATTATCTTGCGAATGTCACGACAAACTGTCAACTCGCGTACGTCTTGCGCAGATAAAAAGGGCATGTGTCTGTGTCTAATTCTTCCTTCGTTATTTGTGCACTCATTTTATTTCCTGCACCGTTGAATACAAATACCGCTCTTTTGACAAATTCTGTACGACCAAAGCTCCGTGTGATCCAGCCGGGCCATTATGTGCCTACACAACGTGTAAATCTCGCTCTCAGGAGTAAACTTATCAACATTACTCCTCATCGTTTCCAACTCCTTACATGGTAACGTGGACAAACAAACTTTAATAGTTAAATCCTGCAAATGACGAGAAATCGCAACACTACAGAAACTTTAAAGCAGGCTGGAAACAAATAGTTAAACTCTGGCAATCCTCATCTCCTGCAGGAGTTAAACTCTGAGGATCACCCGGTGATGCTGGATGTGATTATCAGCGAAAACGTCGAATATAATTGTTAAATGTTGTGCATTGCTCTTCAGCATACCGGTGTGCTGCAGTAATAAACATCTGCGTGCTTGTTCACCTGATTTAACTTTTTCGAATTGTTTCGGGTGGAGAAGGGTGTAAGGTATATATTAGCAATGTGCTCTCGCGATTTGAGCCAAATTAAATACATATTAATTAGATGGGGATTTTTGCCTTTAAATCGCAACCACGTGGCTGTTTAGCCACAGCCGTTTGTCTGTGCTGCCCTCTGGCGGCAACACGATTACAGCTTGCGCCGTTGTTTAACAGCTGTTCCCCAAGGCTTTCCCACTGCCTTTGTGACTCAGGCATGGATAGTGAATCCCGAGAATATTTAAGTTGCCTTAGTTTATCTCTCTATATGAGTCTCACGCATGAACAAACCGAAGTATGTTGTACTACCTTTTATGGGGTAATCACATGACAGTATTCTTCTGTTAATCCAGGAGCCAATATCCTAATTTAGCACGTTAGTATCATTGTTCGTGCATTATTTAGTGAATGTTTGCATTCCTGGCCTGTTGCTTTTACAGGTTTATACACATTATCTTTAACACGTAGGCTTTGGTGACCAATATTATCCGTAAAAGAGGTTTTATTGGTTTAGATCGCGTAAATATAAATGTGCCGTTAAACCCGCCACCACCCAACACAGCCAATTAGTCGTGATAATACACTACGCACAATTAATATATATCTATTTGCATTTTTTGTCATGAAACCGTGCCAAATGTTCTACTTTTGAATATAATAGCACATTTCTTATCTTGCATGTATAGCAAATGCTATATACATGCACGCATCACAGTACAATTAAAATCCTGTAACTATTTCCACACCCAAGTGAAATACTGAGACAAAACGAACCTAGTAATCGGATAGGGGAGGCACAACTATTTCTGTTTATGGGATTTAATCCTGATTTTGGGGGGAAGTTGTTCAGTTTCTGACATATGGAACATTCAGCGGACGGATCGTTCTCAGGAACCTAAACCTTCCGTAACCCAGGGACTCCCTTTACATCATTCTGGAATTGGCGCACAAATGTTGAGCACAACTCCTGGCAGACTCGTGCGGTGTGGGGAATGAAGAGGTGTAGAGCGTGTGGCTTGTTTGTGCACCGCTCCGCTTGGAGAAACCCAATGCCGGTATACCACATGAGGTCACGGGGTCACGGCTGTGTGCGCTGCACACAGTCGAATTTCAGTTCTTTGGAATATGCAGAGCAACATCTGCTGCAGCGACTTTTCTTGAGCGAAGAAGTGGAAAGCGCTCGATTGGGATGTTTCACCAAATCCTTTAATGAGTGCTTGGTGTGTTGGAAGGAAACCCGAGAACCAGAAGTAAAGCAGCACGTAGGAATGTGGGACAACGCTCGATGCTCTCCACTAAAGGACATCTCCTGGCCACTTTGGATCGCATCACGTGTAGCAGATTCTCAAATATCTACAGGTCCACACACATTCCACTCGAGAACGTCAAGCTTAAAAGGCAAACAAAAAGGTTAAAAAGGTCCAGGTATACCTCTAAGACAATATTTAGTCGAATAAACGCATCTTCTCTGTTCTCTGTTAAAACACTTTAACATAACAACTACATTTTGTACCCGTTCAAATAAGGTGAACAGAATGACATTTAAAATTGAAAGCCAGGTAAGTGTCTCCCTGTTCAAGCACTGTTGGGCAGTGTTCACTTCGGTGGTGGCCAGAAGCCAGTGGTGATGATTGCCCATACTTATGGTGGGAGACAGTATCCCTGTACAACTACCACCATTAAATTATCACAAAGAGATACATTGCTCATTTTATTAACCATTTGGAAATAATAGGCGCAGTCAAATACCAACAAGGATGTAATCTGTGTTTGCATAACGACACAACATTGGATACATGTGCACGTTTCTAACACAATGTTGAAAGCCCTCGAAAAATAAAACATGAACAGTCCACCACTTCCCACCAACTGACAGTAGAGATACTGCAACGTCTTTATTTGGAATAAATCAACCTTACATTTGCATACGGATGTGTTCGCTAGTTGGACTTCCCTATTCTGTTTGCTTTTAGAGGTCTCACGTGTGCAGCAAATTCTGTATAAAAGCCATAAGATCCCAACTGTGAGACACGGCAGTGGAGAGGATTCACTCGTGATCGAGAAGCTCAATCTCCAGCAAATTGGAGAGCCATCGATCAACCATGCTCGCCTTTCTTGTCTGCGCTGCCCTGCTGGTTGGAGGTGAGTGCCCCTCTTTCTGACACCTTGAGCTGCTGAGTGATTGGAATGCACGCATTGATTAAGTGTAGCAACCATTCCATTTTCTTCAGGAACTGGACTGAGTTCTAGAAGAAGCTCCTGGCACCAGACATACCTACATGCCTTTTGACTGTGCCCGGATATCGCTGAATTCTTTCCAGCACATTGCCAAATACTTTAATATTATCTGTGGCACGAATGTTGGGCCCTCCATGGATTCCCCCCTGTGGAGCCTGAAACTTGCAGTAATATCCAAACATCAGAAAACGTGACCCCAAGCCTTTAATACCATGGCGAGGAAAACTATCTTAGATAATTGGAAGGACCCCAAACTCCCTTCCTGGAGACATTGGAGTCGATCATCATACACTATAGTCGCAATGGAGCACCTTAGTTTATAATCCTAAATAACACGGATCACCTGATGGCAAGACGATCATGAACCCGAACAGGGGAACCAGGGGAAATGGTGAGGAGGTGGGGGAGCATGCCACAGGCCTCACATTATTTTCAATATGCTCTGAATGAGAGTAATTCCTAGGAGGGGAATGGGCGGATCTGGGCTCCAATTGATCTCCTTTTTCACGTCACTCGTTATTTTGGTTATACCACATGGGTTATAAAAGGATCCCGATATACCCTCAATAACTCCTGGTGGAGGAGAAAAAAATAACCCGAGGGCACAAAACCTGGATATGCAAACGTTGCATGTACGTTGAAATACCCTCTGTCATGATCGCTGTTTCGGGTTTTAAATAAAAAAAATTTGTGCCAGTTAAAAGGGTAAAACCTATTCCTATATCTTGTTTCTGGCAAAGGAGGTCTCATAATGTTAATGCTCACCACGAGCCCTCAATACTCTGATAGTGCGCTGTTTTCGAGTTGTACGCCTTTTGGCGTCTTCTGGTCCAACACCAATGGAGACTAGGCTCTAAGAAAAGCTGTCTCGGGTGTGGACCAATCAAATTCAAGGACAGTGCATATTATTATCAGAGTTGTCTTTTTTGTTTGCATTTTGACTGCTTGTGTTGTGGTTATTTCAAACATGATGCCTTGAATAAAGGTGTCAGTTTTTGTGCCAGTTAAAAGGGTAAAACCTATTCCTAAAACAATACACTATATGTAAAATAAGCTCTTGTAACGTGGAGTGAAACATCGGACATCATGCAGAACAGTACAGGGTACAAACCAAAAACACATCAGGGAGATTCGTATGGTATTATGTTTGTGCTATTGTGTGTGTGTGCTATTGTGTATAGTATTGTGCGTGTATGCTATTGTCCCTTACAGCTGAGGTGTCTGCTCAGAGCTGTGGGATCGCAGCGTATCCCCAGATCCGCGTGGTGAACGGCGTGGAGGCTCGTGCCAACTCCTGGCCTTGGCAGGTAACGGGAGAGGCTGAATAACAGCCATCACAGCCACACGCTGCATTGTCAGTTGATCACAGTGCAGCAGCATCCATTGTTGTACACGCCACGTGGAGGCCCTCATCCAGCAGTGGATTGACAAAAGGGCTGCATGTGTGCAACATGACATGTTCAGATCTTCCATTCTTCCCAAAGACATTGAATGAGTCCCTGTATAATGGGAGAGTGGAAGCGCAGTGTTTTACGCACTGCACGACGAACCAGGCTGCATGGGTTACATTCCCAGCGACTGCTAACGTTAGTTGTGAGTGAAATCCTAACTAGTCCCAGGTAAAATTTTCTTCACAACCAGCTCTGGCAAGCATTTGTGAGGCAGTCGATGGACAAAAGGGCAAAGTTAGTACTGTATTATTCGATATTAAAATTGCACAGATTCCGAAAAAAACACCGTAATCACCACCGCCTCGCTTTGTGTGCATTGTAGGCGCTCGTGCAGAGGTACTCTGGAGGAAGATGGGTCAACTACTGTGGAGGAACCCTCATTGATAGTCAATGGGTGCTCACCTCTGCGAGCTGCTTCACGTGAGTCATGGCACAAGTGGAGTCGCTAGTGTGTGTGCAGGCAGTGCAACTGCACCGGGGCCCAGGTGTTTTACAGTATTTTTTACTGTACCACATTGTGGCCACCAAGGGTGGAACAGTGTATCTTGGGAGCAAGGAGGCAGCTTGTATAAATGACCTTTACACGATGCCGCAGTGTGGCAGTGAAAATACCATGCAGTAACTCGCACCATTTCTGTTTAGTAATTTCTCACTGCAATGTTTACAGATGTAAGTGATTTCGACCGCCCGTCGCTCTGTTATCTCCCCACAACCACCACAACGTGCAGGAGTGGCTACAGCTACAGGGTGGTGCTGGGAAAGCACAGTGTGTCCACATCCGAGTTCGGGGAGGTCACCCCTCCATTGAGCCTGGCCGTCTGGCATAGCTACTGGAATCCCAGCATGCCGGCGAACGGGTGAGAACGCACACGGGCGCGCTAGTTAAGTGACACCGTGACATTCAGAGTTGCAATCGACAGATAAACATACATGCAGACAAACATTCATAGAGACATTCCAACAGACAAAAGACAGATTATTTTTAAACAAACAAAGATTATCATGGACACTGCCGTAAAACGAAAGAACGCATAATTTGAATATCATATGTCAGTTAAGGATCATTTGTAAACAGTAGAATTGTATTATATTATAGAAGGCAGTGTTAATGGCAAGGCGATGAGTTGTCTTGATTTGTACTCGTACACTGTTTCCAGCACATGCCCATTCTTTGTTTGACAAAGAGAAGGACAGATGCTACACAATGCTATTGCTTCATCTCATACAATGCTTCTGATAATCCAATAACTGGAATATACAGAAATCCTCATATTGATGACTGGCATACTTATCTGTGGGAGATGTGGCGTCCACACAATCTCCTATTATATGTGGTCCAATTCTTCCTATTATCCGTCATTTCCCCCCATAAATCATTGGAGTATAATAGCAGATAATAGGATCTGCAATATTGATCTCCCAGCGCTGAACCCCCAATGCTTGTTGTTATGTTCGTTGTTGAGCGTCGCATCACGGCTGCCCCTGGTCTCAATCCCCCACAGGTACGACATCGCCATGTTCAAGATTGCATCGCCCGTGGCTCTCTCCAGCAAGGTGCGCCTCGCCTGCCTGCCCAGCGCCAACCAGATCCTGCCCAACAACTACCCGTGCTACGCCACGGGCTGGGGATCCCTCGACAGTGAGTACCGTTCACTCGGTGTGCATTAAACACAAGAGGGGGCAGAGCTATGGACACTTTGCATCAAATTCCATGTATATTGAGGCACCCATGCGGCAACCTCGCCAAAGGGGACCACCCCATTGGCAGCTGTCCCTGTCCACTAGAAGGTGAATGCAGCACCCACCTACACGTGGACGTAATGATGCCAACAGCGTGGCGGTGTTGCTACGTTGCTTTTCTCCTTTGAGCACTGAGAGTCGGACAGTTCGCTGGGGAGCGCCTGTTAACGTCACTTAACCCCGATGCCTTCTCACCAACGCTCTCCGTCTCCACGTTGTCTGTGCGCGTGAGCAGCCAGCGGCCCCTTCCCCAGCGCCCTGCAGCAGGCCAGCCTGCCCGTGGTGGACTACTCGACGTGCAGCCAGCCCAGCTGGTGGGGGAGCAGCCTGAGGAGCAGCGTGATCTGCGCGGGGGGCAGCACCCGCTCTGCGTGCTATGTGCGTACGGAGCACAACGCGAGACAACCCGCGTCAATTCCTCATGAGAATAGTTGTCAGCAAAATGTTTCTTTTATATCTTCATTTAGTCAACAGGAACTGTGAGTGGACAACAATCACCAAGCGTGGCGATGGCTGTGACCACTGACATCACTGATTGGCTGACCTGGTAATGTTGTGGGAGCGAAGGGGGCGCACATTCAACCCATTTAATAACTCGAGTCGACAAATATGGTGACTGCTTTAATCGCCACATCTTAGAGAATTACTAAATGAAATCCACGGACACTAAGATTTGACTAAAATTTCACAGAGTAATTAAATGCATGACTGCATTAAATCAATAAATAACAAACAAGAAAAGATAAATGACCAAATTAACGCCAGAACCAATAGGGTACGTATTAAGTCGTCACTTGTCATATTTTTACTGTTCCAGACCCTACCACCTGTGTATAGCTACCAGAGAAGTGCGGGGCAAGACACAACAAGGTGTTTTGAGAAGGATCAGGCCTTGGGGTTGTGCGATATTACTCCGTTACTTAGCAACACGGTCCGAAAGCACACTTGCTAAATTTTCTCATCCAGATACCGATACAAGAGCCCCAAGGCTCTTGTACTTACCCTTGCCAGCACCTGCCACCATATCAAGTTTCTGCTTTACCCAGAGTTAACGTGGATGCATGTCTATCCTCTGCTTTGCATCGCAGGGTGATGGAGGTGGCCCACTGAACTGCCAGCGGTGGGACAATGCCTGGGTGGTGCAGGGAATCGCCAGCTACGTCTCATCTCTGGGCTGCAACACGATCCGCAAGCCCACCGTGTTCACCCGCGTGTCAGCCTACAACAGCTGGATCAGCGCTGTGAGTGCCGAGGCTGTCAATGTCAACATCAATATTGTAGTAAAATGATACCGTCAAAACATTTTCAATAGCTCGTCACTATCAATAGCATTATTGTTATTGCTCTTCTCAATGGCAATATCATTGTCAATGTTTATATTGTTGTAAATATCAATGTAGGTGCATAGTCAGGGAAAGGTTGTATGGATGGGGCATGTGTGGAGGATTGAAATGGACATGTTACCATGACAAGCATTGACAGTGGAACCCAGTGGTCAAAAACCAAATGAAAATTTTTACCACAAGATGAGTCAGGTGTTGACTACAATAGAAGAAGCCATGGCTCAGTGTGATGACCCATTTATTTTTATCGATGACAAAGCAAAGGTGGCATGTAGACTCGGTGTGGCTGGTATCGGCCAGGTATAATTGCTATCATGTTCGTTTATCTGTAGGTACTGACGTTCAAACACCACCCATTCCCCATTTCTCCCGCAGGTCATGAGCGTGTACCGTGAAGCCCCGAAGCTCGCCGAAGGAGAGCAGAGCGTCAACAGCGGAGTCAATGCCACAATTGCCGCATTCAAGAAGCCACAGGCTTAAAGCATCACGCTCTTTATATCAATGCTACCACTAACCCGAGCATTACAGTTCCTTGCTATGGGTATGGCCTGTTTAATGTGGAACTGGGCCTGTGAGCATAGGATGGGTGGTTCTATTCAGTGAGTTTGTGTGGTCATGCCAGACATGTTATTAGTGGTAATGACACTGTCACAATATGGCATTTAGATCAGATGATGAACAGTTCTCTATTTTGACAAAATATTTTTTTGGAATACCAACATGTATATTGTACATCCAGTACTGAAAATACAATTTTAAAACATCTTTTAAATTGAAGATCCATCATCACACTACACTTTGCATACCAAGTTAAAATCCTTTACTTTTGTGAAGACATTGTTCAACAATATTGCATATACACTAACTCTTCGCCTGATGAAAAATGCTAAATTTAAACATCATCCATTCAGTTTACAAATTATATATTCCCAAGCAACAGTTGGAGTTGCAAGCTCACCGGACTATTAGACCACCATTAAATGTTTTCTTTGTTGCACATGTACAGCCCCTACATATCCAGGAACTTACATTACTTTTAATTAATGTCATTGAGGCTTTAATATACAGGTCAAGAGAAGGTAGCAATTGTGCAATTTCTTCCAATATCAATTAAGTTTGGATTGGATCACGAGATAAACTTCTGTATTTTGGAAAGAAAGTCGAGTCAGGGTTATACAGCATTGTAAAGAAAATTTATTTTAAAATGATTCATCCATCTGATGTGTTTTCTGAATTCGTCATACTGCATTAAGCTCGATACATTTCTAATCTGCTGGTGTATAGTTTTGATTGGTGAAAAATAAAAGAAAAAATGCAAACAACATTCTGGTTTACGTAAACTACTATAGTGAACGTTAGTGCACATTCACCAGACACCTAACAAAAAGTCACGATTCACCAAACACTCTTTACTCACCACTCATCTTGCACTCACTCGACACGCTACAGTACTCATTCACCAGGCACTGCTAGGCTACGTATGGTACGAAAAAAGTTCAACATACAGTATATGCGACTCGCCTAACTATATCTACTCGGCTGACCTTCAGACACCAATAACCTGCAACTCACCCGACACAAGAAACAGACATGCATCGCTCACTTCACACTCAACACTTTCTAGACGCTACTGACTCCCGTTCTCACGACTCACTGAACACTCGCCAGTCACTAGCTATGCACCCATTACTGCAAAGTGAAACTTCGGTTTGAGGGGCTGCAACTACACGAATTGCAATACCACATTCAATATGGCAGGAAGAGCACAACTCAGCCATTAGCAGTCGCAATGAGTTTCTGCTGATCATATCCGGTAGTTGTCTCACTGAGCTTGTCCTGGGTTGAACTTTCAACGATCCAGTAATAATAATACCACAGTATACAAATACAGTATATGCGTGTTTTGACATTGACATTAACAATGCCGAATCTACAATGCCTTGTTTAATATTTCACAATGTTATTGTAAAATGGCAGTGCATTCTGAATATACAGTACTAGAAATTATTCATAAAACGGAGATTTGTTTTTATGTGGTGGCAGTGGTGTTCAGGGGGTTCAATTCCTGGTGACGCAGAGCAACCGTGGGAACTGGAGTATAAACCTGACCTGGGGGCCTCCTAAGCCTAAAATAAGCAGAGGTCTGGCCACCAACATGATCATGAGCAATGCGGAGTTGCAGAAGGATGGACTGTGTGTGGTGTTGTTGCCCACACCCCTCCAGGTATTGTCTGAACATAAATAGGTGCTGCTCATCAGTTGCAGATTAACCTAGTGCGGGGCCTGTAGCACATGGTGTGTTGGTAGGAAACCAGAGAACCAGAAGAAAACTCCCAAGTAGGCATGTGGGAAAACAATCGATGATCTGCACTAATGGACTCTTGAATCATATTCTTGTATGGTACTGATATATCCTCGCCACATTGTATCGCATCAGGTGTAGAATACTCTCAAATATCTTCGTGGTCCACCAACTGTCGACTCCAGAACGCTGGATTACATGTGTAGTGACTAACTCGGAGACACTAAGAGGTGGAGGCACTTCTTTATTAACAAGCACCATCAGGGTTAACTGTTCGTCTATGGTCGGCGAAGTTACTCAGTCAAGAGAGTTGGTAGGCTGCCTGACTGGTCACGCCCCGAGATGGTGAAGACAGAGACGACGACAAGAAGGATGGTGAAGATGACGAGAAGAATGACGAGAAGAATGGTGAGGACTTGAGCAGCACGACAGGGATCCCACTCCATACGACAGCCACGAGGTCCCCCACAGGGGCCCTTCTTATACTGTCAGCATGGCCTGGCTCCGCCCCCGGCCACGCCCCCTTTCTAGAACCTACCAGCCGGTTCTTGGTGTGATCCTTCTGTGACCTTTCCCCTAGACCCCCCTCTGGTGTATAACCTGGCCTGCTGACGTCAGAGCTACTGTAAGCCCTAGATCCGCTTCCCCGCCAGCAGCCAATGCTATGCTGCTACATTACTTATTTTATGCCACTACACATGAGTGCGCCACTGTGCTCGGCTAAAAAGACAAAAAAGATCAAAAAGGTCCAATATACCCACAATATAACATTTCTTATTAAGTAATATTCCGTGTCGTTTTTATTTTTTAGAACTAGGCCTCAGCAAGGAAAGGTAATTTACCGTTTTTACCGTGTTAAAGGGTAAAGGTGTCGACCATGCCAAGGGGTAAGGTAAAGGGTAGGGTAAAGGTAGAATGGAAGAATTACCCAGTAGGGTAAAGCTAGTGCGAAGTATTACCCTGTTTACCGCTCGCTAAAATCTCCGTGGCACAGTCTGTGGCCTCCATTTTAAATTGTAATAATTGATGTTGGACCAGATGGAGATGGACCGCATTCTTGAGGTAGAGGATGAGGTCGAGGATGCCAGCAATCAAAAGAGGCAGCTGCATGCGTTCCCGTGGGAGCACACGCACGATTGGATGGAGGGTAATCCCTAAGTCCAGCAAGGAATGCGGCAGTGTGTGCACTGCTGCAAGTGGTTTTCATCCCACACGAACGTGTCGGGGTGGAAAGCCCACCTCAAGAAGCACAATGTGCTCGCCCCAGGCAGCAAGGTCGGACGTCGGCGTTGGCGAGCCGCCTAATGCAGCAAACGCTGAGCTGGCCAGCAATCCCGGATCGCCTCCTGGTAAAGTTTGAGAATGCGTTGGTTGATTTTGCTCAAGACCTTGGTCCACACATTGATGCAGGGATACGAGGGCCCGTCGACCCGCACCATCATTTGCAGGATTCTCGAGCATCATGCCATCATGCTCCCCATCATCGGGGTGTTCTTCTGCAACCTGGACGTCGCAATCTCGCTCACCATCGACAGGTGGTCGAACCACAACCTGAAGGGATTTTGGATGGTCATGGTTCACTGAATCGACACCAAATCTGGTGCGTCAAAATCCATGCTGCTGGCGATCCTCGATGTCAGCAAGCGCATTGGCACCACTCTGTTTGAGCACCTTCAAAGACTTAGGCACAATGTCTCGACCAAGCTGCTCGCTACCACCAGTGACAATGGCTCTGATGCAATCAGTGCTGTCAAGACGTTGTTTGCCCTGGTCAACGCGGACACCAGATATGAGCAGTTGCGGGCTTGCCACCATATTCGCTGCACGGATCATTCGGTCCAGATCGGCTTCGTCCAAGTTCTCAAACTGATAAAGACGACCAAAGCTTGTCAATATCAGGCGCAGCAAGATCGTCCGGCAGTCGTTCCGCCGTGAGGCCGAGATCGCCAAGCTCGCCATCAAGGAGCCGACGCACCAGGACTCGCCGACCATGTGGAATTCGACGTTTGACATGAGCGACGACGCCATCAAAAAGCATCCCCCATTGGACATTATCATGGCGCGCTTCCAGGATGTGATCGGCGTCAGTGCTTTCTCTGAACTGCAGTGGGCAAACATCGAGGGCGTGACAGCATTCATGCGAATGCCGTGCCAAGTCATGACCTCGTTGGCGGCGGACCGGAAGTCGACATTGAATCTCGTGCCGGTGGCGATGGAGCACCTGATCCGTCATTGCTATCACGGTGAAGCTGCTCTTAGAGCGATCGATGAGACCTTGACCATGATGGGGATGAAGGCCAAGCTGGTGCGGTACCACGACTTCCTGGTTCAGGAACCCGCCATTGTGGCATCCTACGTTAATCCACAGCTGCCGAAAACGGCAGACCAAGACGAGCTGGCTACACTGAAGGCCACGATCCGCTCTGTCCTGCAGCATCACTACTCAGATGTGCTCACGATCCCGCCGATGGCAGTCGCTGCCCATATGGAGGAGGGGTCGCCGTTCAGCACCCAATTCAGCAACGTCGGCAGCTCCATCGACGACGGCGATGAAGTCGATCATTTTCTGAGCATGGGCGTCACGACCGCCAGCACCTTCGTTGACGTAATGCAGTGGTGGTCTCTCCGCAAAGAGCTGCTCCCTGCCCACTACAAGATGGCCTGCGACTAATTTGGAGCGCCAAAAACATCATCTTCCTGTGAACGTGCGAATAGCAGAGCCGGGCGGGAGTTCACATGCGTTCGCCAGTCACTGTCCTCGACGCTCTTCATCCAGTCCATGTGCTTGCACTCGTGGATCGCGGCCAGCTGCCTGCAGGTCCCGTCTAACTGGGCCGGAGCGGTGCAGGATCTAATTGCCCATCGTTCGTCCCAGGACGACGGCAATGACGAACTTGATCAGGTTGTTGATGAGATCCTCATTGACCAAGACGACTGGGACGAGGAGGCTATGGAAAATGGTGTCATCGACAGCCTCAACGCGAGATTGGAGGGTATTCTATATGAATAAAGCGTTCTACCTAGCATTTACCTGTAATAAACCTTTGTCATGTGTAGTACCCAAGTAAATACCCTGTAATCGAGTAATTCGTATGGGGTAAGGGTAAAAGGTAGGGTAAAGGTAGGCTCGTTGTTTTTACCTTTTACCTTACCTTGCTGCGGTCTATTTAGAATATCTTCTTTTCTATAGAACTGCTTTTGTGTTTGTTGTCCTTCCCCCGCACCTCCGATTAGCATGACTAGCTTCAAAAGGTGCATACGTGAAATATTTTATTATAACAACTACATTTTGTATCCATAAAAAAAACATCAAGAATAACCAAATGTCCTTCAAACAAGGTGAACAACACGTGAAATTTTCAATGAAAAGCCAAACAAGTATCTCCCTGTTCAACCAGTGTTGGGCAATGCTTACCTCGCTGGTGGCCAAAAGCCAGTGGTGGAGATTCCCCATACATACGGTGGGGGCGGTATCCCTGTAAAACAGCCACAGTTAGATTACAACAAAGAGGTAGATACTTTACTCATTTTATCAACCAGTTGAGATAATAGGCCAAGTCAAATACCAACTAGGATGTGATCGTCTGTGTTTGCATAAAGAAACAACGTTGGGAAAATGTCTACAACGTTTCTAAAACACCGTTTTAAGTCCTCGAAAATGAAAACATGAAAAGCCCAACAATTCGCACCAGCAGATTCTCACCTGATAATAGAGATACTGCAATGTCTTTATTTTAAATTAATCAACTTTACATGTGCATATGGATGTGTCTGCCAGTTGGACTTCCCTATTCCGTTTGCCCTTGGAGGTCCAAAGTGGGCAGAAGATTCTGTATATAAGCCAAGAGGTCCCAGCAGTGAGACACGGCAGTGGAGAGGATCCATTCGTTATTGAGAAGCTCCATATTAATGACCTTTACACGATGCCGCAATGTGCCAGTGAAATTACCATGCATTAACTCGCACCAATTATCTTTACAAGTGTAAGTGATTAAGACCGCCCATCGCTCTGTTGTCTCCCCACCTCCACCACAACCTACAGAAAGAATCTGCCCCAATCTACGGAAAGAAATCTGCCCCAATCTAAATTGGGGGCATGCTTCGTACTCTACTGTCAACGTGGGGTTCGGGGTACAATCCCTGATCATCGCTACCTGATCTTGAATACGAATTAAACAACCTGGCTACCCGTCGCTCTGCAAACTGGTTTCTTAGGGTCCCATATGCTACAGAGTGCACATTTAAACGTGTGATTAATCTCGGGTGAGCTCACACTACAGGAGCAAGGAGGCGGCCTTTCTAAATGACCTTTATACGATTCCACAATGTGGAATGTGACAATAAGATGCAGTAACTCGAACCATTTCTGTTTAGTAATTCCTCACTGCAATCTTTACAGGTGTAAGTGATTAAGAACCCCCATCGCTCTGTTATCTCTCCACCTCCACCACAACGTGCAGGAGTGGCTACAGCTACAGGGTGCTGCTGGGAAAGCACAGTGTGTCTACATCCGAGTTCGGGGAGGTCACACCTCCATTGAGCCTGGCCGTCTGACATAGCGACTGGAATCCCAACATCTTGGCAAATGGGTGAGAACGCACACGGGCGCGCTGGTTATGTAACACCGTGACATTCAAAGTTTCAATAGACAGATATATATACTGTACATACATACAGACACACATGGAAAGAGATTTTCAGACATACTGTACGAGAGAAAGATTCTTATTTTTTACCCACAAAACAAATCATTGACACTGCCTTCAAGCTGAAAAATATCTAATTGGAATATATTTCAGGGAATGACAATTTTTCAACGGTAGAATTTTATGATACTAGAATTTAGGTGGACTACAGCTGCCTTATTGTTGCTCCTGTGGAGAGCTTCTTGGCACATCGCGCATCGCCCCTCGCCCCCACTAATGTTCTCTTCGTCCGTCCCCCCTCAATGTGTGCAGATACTACTGACTCTTTTTTGACCCACGAATAAGTGGAGTTAAAATATCAGAAAATAGCTTCTGTGATAATAATCCCCAACATCACCAAGGTTAAGAGGAGTTCTCCTGGGCAGAGCGCTGAACCCCGATTGCTTGGCGTTATGTTCGGTGTTGAGCGTCGCATCACGGATGCCCAAATCTCAATCCCCCACAGGTACGACATCGCCATGTCCAAGATTGCATTGCCCGTGGCTCTCTCCAGCGAGGTGCGCCTCGCCTGCCTGCCCAGCGCCAACCAGATCCTGCCCAACAACTATCCGTGCTACGCGACGGGATGGGGATCTCTCGACAGTGAGTACGGTTCACTCAGTGCAAATTAAAAACAGGAGTTATGCGGAGTGCTTTCAGCCCAAATTTTAAATTGCCCCCGTAGTTTTACCAGATACATCTGGCTGACACACTTTTACAAATGACAATCTGGTGTTGACTCAGCCCTTCATCTTTCTGGCGTTGATAAATTGAACACAACTCTGCATAGTCAAGAGTGGGAAGTCGCCTTTCAGTAGAATGGTGGTGTTGCTATGTGGTTGTTCCCCTCTGAGCATGGAGACACGGACGGTTAACTTGGCCAGCACCTGTTAATTGTTCGCTTGGGGAGAACCTGTTCATGGTTAATTTTGGGACGACCTGATAACGCCACGTAACTCCGATACTTTCACCCACGCTCTGCATCTCCACGTTGTCTGTGCGCGTTAACAGCCAGCGGCCCCTTCCCCAGCGTGCTGCAGCAGGCCAGCCTGCCCGTGGTGGACTACGCGACGTGCAGCCAGCCCAGCTGGTGGGGGAGCAGCCTGAGGAGCAGCGTGATCTGCGCGGGGGGCACCACCCGCTCTGCATGCTATGTGCGTACGGAGCGCAACGCGAGCCAGCCCGCGTCAATTCCTTAACGAAATGACTAATGAGAATAGTTGTCAACAAAATGTTCCTTTGAAATCTTAATTTAGTCAACAATGACTGCGATAGTACCCCAATCACCAAGCATGGTGATGACTGTGACCATTGAGATCACTGATTGTCTGACCTGGTAATGTTGGGGGAGCGGAGGGTGGCGGAACACATCCCACCCCAATAATTAATAACTTAGACTGGACAAATAGTCTGACTGCTTTAGTTGCCTAGACTAAGAGAATGACTCAATGAAATCCACCGACACTAAGATTTCACTAAAATAAGTTTATGCATGACTACATTCAATCCATAAAGAACAAACGAAAAAATTAAAATATTGATTAAATTAATGCCAGAGCCAACAGAGTGCGTATGAGTTTACCACTTGTCATATTTTGACGTTTCCAGACCCTGCGACGTGTGCCGAGCTACCAGAGTAGTGTGGGGCAATACACAGCAACACAGTCCAAAAGCACACTTGCTAAATGTTCTCATCCAGATACCGATACAAGAGCTGAAAGCTGAAAGCTCTTGTACTTACCCTTGCCAGCACCTGCCACCATATTAATTTTCTGTTTTACCCAGAGTTAACGTGGATGCATGTCTGTCCTCTGCTTTCCATCGCAGGGTGATGGAGGTGGCCCACTAAACTGCAAGTGGTGGGACAATGCCTAGGTGGTGCAGGGAATCACTAATATGTCTGATGTGTTTTCTGAATTCATCATACTGCAGTGAGCTCCATATATGTCTAGTCTCATGGTGTATATTTTGTATTGGTGCAAAATAAAATAAAAATGCAGATTTAATTAAATGACAAGTGGACGTATCTCCAGACACCTAACACCACTCACCACTCATCTTGCGCTAAACCAATACTTACATTCACCACGCTGCTAAACACTCACGACACGCCTGGCCATCACTATTCAGCTGAACCTTACCAGACAATCGCCACTCAATTCTAGATTTGAAGCTTTCGTGATTGCAAGGATCCATACTCTTTGCAAAGCCACGGGTTTTTATCAGAGATTTGTCCACGGGGCAATTCAGATTTACAAACACAGACACAATTTCAATCGAGAGGATGGTTTCAAATTAAGCAATCATGGGAAAGATGTTCTAAATCAAACCAAACATTAAACTAATTTTCAATGGTGCTTATTTCTCTCCACTCACTCACTCCACTCACTCACTCCACTCACTCCACTCACTCCACTCACTCCACTCACTCACTCCACTCACTCACTCCACTCACTCACTCCACTCACTCACTCACTCCACTCACTCACTCCACCCACTCACTCCACTCACTCACTCCACTCACTCACTCCACTCACTCACTCACTCCACTCACTCACTCACTCCACTCACTCACTCACTCCACTCACTCACTCACTCCACTCACTCACTCCACTCACTCTACTCACTCACTTCACTCACTTTAACCCCCCCTCCCCGCTACTGGTCCTTCATGGTCCCCACCCGCTCCTGGTCCATCATGGCCCATGCACCTCCTACGTACAGCACGGTCCCTTCACCTGATGAAGGCCACTTGTGTTGTGGCCGAAACGTCGTGATTTTTGTTATTTTATTTTTTACCGACGTGACTTTACCGAATAGAACCAAAAAGTATGAATCGCCACTCACCTGAAACTCATCTTACACCCTAAACCGACATACATCAATCACTTCACACTCGCCACTTGCTGGACGCTGCTAACTCTTGCTCTCACCACTCACTGAACACTCACCAGTCACTAGTTATGCACTCATGAATGCAAATAAAATGCCAGTTTTAAGGGCTGTAGTCGAATAGTTACTCAAAGCGTCACTACATGAAGAGAAATACTATGTGGAATATGGCAGGAAGAGTACTACTCAGCCATTAGCAGTCGCAATGAGTTTCTGCTGATAATATCACCCGCTAGTTGTCCCAATGAGCCAAAGTCGAGCTACTGGATTTGGACTTCATAATCATTGTTTATACAAACATTACTGACCTAAATTAAATACACCAACCATGCCCTGCAGGAGTAACTCATAAACTAGCCAGATTTTGGGAAAAACAAAACATCCGAGTCAGATTTGACATGGGACATAAAATATAGAAAATAATATCTGGTCCTAAAGCTGTATAACCAAAGCTATCAACAGAAGGTATGTACCGGATTAATTGCACTTGTGTCAAATGCTATGTTGGGCAGACAGGACGAATTATCACCACGGGACTAAAATAACAGCAAAGGAATATTAAATACTCTCAAATACAACTGTCGGTATTGGCAGAACACGCGTGCCAACAAGGACACTCAATTGATTTTGATGTTAAAGTTATAGTAATAGGTTTTTACCCTTTTATCTAGCACTAAAACTGACACCTTTATACAAGGGATCATGTTGGCAATCACCACAACACAAGCAGTCAAAATGCAAACAAAAAGAGACAACTCTAATAATGATATGCACTGTCCTTGAAATTGATTGGTCCACACCCGAGACGGCTTTTCTTAGAGCCTAGTCTCCACTGGTGTTCGACCAGATGACGCCAAAAGGCGTACAACTCAAAAACAGCGCACTATCAGAGTATTGAGCGCTCAGGGCTGGAGGAATATTTTTTTATTTCCAAGGATAGTTTGCATGCAGGAAGCATTTCTCTGAGATGCTGGTATGTCCTGGTGTGTATTTGCGTTTGCCTATCTAAATTGAATGAGTCTACATGGCGTATCAAATGCCATTGAACACACTCGCTGCCCTGCTGTCAGGAACTGTGTGTTCTGTACGCAATGTGCTTTCATGTGCTCGACAAGCACTTGAAATGTAGTTACCGTGGTAGCCACCGAGTTGTCTTCGCTCTCTGAATATGTTAAACAGATAGATGTTCATTTAAGGGGAAAACCAGTGTGGGTATATGAGGGAGCATAATTAGCCGTAACATTGTGACTTACACTTGGGCAGATCATAAAGGAGAGTTGTGAATATTTTAAATAAATTACCATTCAAATTAAATGTAAGAGAAAATTTAACATTGCTTTTTAAACCTCTATATTGTTTTTTTATTCAAAGGATATTACACGACAACAATTATATTTAGCTTTAAAGGTGGCCATTATGTTGTCATGATCTTAAATATACGCATATTTTTCTTTGTGCAGGTGCAAGCTGATTTGGATCGGTTGTAGTCCTTCCGTATGCGATGCCAAAGATGCCTTATTGGCACCCGATGGTTCGACTTTGTCAGAAATGTCACCATTGTATCTGCGACTGGTCTCCTATCGATCGCGAGCTTCGTTCGATGGAGACGGATGTTACTTCATGGACACGTCGCCCCGTCTTAACACGCAATCTCGAGCAAATAGCGCACTTAAGTTGGCGGTTGGCGGTCGACATTCGAAATGGATTGCGACCCTCAAACGCATGGCGCCACCCCCGTGGTCGCCCCCGTGATACGTGGATCAAACAAATCACTTGAGACGCCAGTGTGTTTTAGCAAGAGCAGTTTATGTGAATGTTGTCGCAACGGGTCACACGTTTGGCACAACGGTCCTTCGCTGACTATGCATGATGAATGAATGACGTATTATCTTGCGAATGTCATGACAAACTGTCAACTCGCATACATCTTGCGCAGATAAAAAGGGCATGTGTCTGTGTCTAATTCTTCCTTCGTTATTTGTGCACTCATTTTATTTCCTGCACCTTTGAATACAAATACCGCTCTTTTGACAAATTCTGTACCACCAAAGCTCCGTGTGATCCAGCCGGGCCATTATGTGCCTACACAACGTGTAAATCTCGCTCTCAGGAGTAAACTTATCAACATTACTCCTCATCGTTTCCAACTCCTTACATGGTAACGTGGACAAACAAACTTTAATAGTTAAATCCTGCAAATGACAAGAAATCGCAACACCACAGAAACTTGAAAGCAGGCTGGAAACAAATAGTTAAACTCTGGCAATCCTCATCTCCTGCAGGAGTTAAACTCTGAGGATCACCCGGTGATGCTGGATGTGATTAAAAGCGAAAACGTCGAATATAATTGTTAAATGTTGTGCATTGCTCTTCAGCATACCGGTGTGCTGCAGTAATAAACATCTGCGTGCTTGTTCACCTGATTTAACTTTTTCGAATTGTTTCGGGTGGAGAAGGGTGTAAGGTATATATTAGCAATGTGCTCTCGCGATTTGAGCCAAATTAAATACATATTAATTAGATGGGGATTTTTGCCTTTAAATCGCAACCACGTGGCTGTTTAGCCACAGCCGTTTGTCTGTGCTGCCCTCTGGCGGCAACACGATTACAGCTTGCGCCGTATTTTAACAGCTGTTCCCCAAGGCTTTCCCACTGCATTTGTGACTCAGGCATGGATAGTGAATCCCGAGAATATTTAAGTTGCCTTAGTTTATCTCTCTATATGAGTCTCACGCATGAACAAACCGATGTATGTTGTACTACCTTTTATGGGGTAATCACATGACAGTATTCTTCCTTTAATCCAGGAGCCAATATCCAAATTTAGCACGTTATTATCATTGTTCGTGCATTATTTAGCGAATGTGTGCATTCCTGGCCTGTTGCTTTTACAGGATTATACACATTATCTTTAAGACGTAGGCTTTGTCCACCAATATTATCCGTAAAAGAGGTTTTATTGGTTTAGATCGCGTAAATATAAATGTGCTGTTAAACCCGCCACCACCCAACACAGCCAATTAGTCGTGATAATACACTACGCACAATTAATATATATCTATTTGCATTTTTTGTCATGAAACCGTGCCATATGTTCTACTTTTGAATATAATAGTACATTTCTTATCTTGCATGTATAGCAAATGCTATATACATGCACGCATCACAGTACAATTAAAATCCTGTAACTATTTCCACACCCAAGTGAAATACTGAGACAAAACGAACCTAGTAATCGGATAGGGGAGGCACAACTATTTCTGTTTATGGGATTTAATCCTGATTTTGGGGGGAAGTTGTTCAGTTTCTGACATATGGAACATTCAGCGGACGGATCGTTCTCAGAAACCTAAACCTTCCGTAACCCAGGGACTCCCTTTACATCATTCTGGAATTGGCGCACACATGTTGAGCACAACTCCTGGCAGACTCGTGCGGTGTGGGGAATGAAGAGGTGTAGAGCGTGTGGCTTGTTTGTGCACCGCTCCGCTTGGAGAAACCCAATGCCGGTATACCACATGAGGTCACGGGGTCACGGCTGTGTGCGCTGCACACAGTCGAATTTCAGTTCTTTGGAATATGCAGAGCAACATCTGCTTGCAGCGACTTTTCTTGAGCGAAGAAGTGGAAAACGCTCGATTGGGATGTTTCACCAAATCCTTTAATGAGTGCTTGGTGTGGTGGAAGGAAACCCGAGAACCAGAAGTAAAGCAGCACGTAGGAATGTGGGACAACGGTCGATGCTCTCCACTAATGGACATCTCCTGGCCACTTGGGATCGCATCACGTGTGGCAGATTCTCAAATATCTACAGGCCCACACACATTCCACTGGAGAACGTCAAGCTTAAAAGGCAAACAAAAAGGTTAAAAAGGTCCAGGTATACCTCTAAGACAATATTTAGTCTAATAAACGCATCTTCTCTGTTCTCTGTTAAAACACTTTAACATAACAACTACATTTTGTACCCGTTCAAATAAGGTGAACAGAATGACATTTAAAATTGAAAGCCAGGTAAGTGTCTCCCTGTTCAAGCACTGTTGGGCAGTGTTCACTTCGGTGGTGGCAAGAAGCTAGTGGTGATGATTGCCCATACTTATGGTGGGAGACAGTATCCCTGTACAACTACCACCATAAATGATCACAAAGAGATACATTACTCATTTTATTAACCAGTTGGAAATAATAGGCG